CATTTTCAAGGATGACCCATTAGACAAGACAAATAGATAAGGCATCCAATTATCTCACCTACTGTTTTTCTTCTGCATAGTCTGCATTTTTGGCCCTTCCACCCTAGCTAGGCTATGAGACTAGAAGAATATCCAGCAGGAAGGAGATAAATAGTTGTCATCATCAAGAAGTTTCTCCTAATGGACAAGCAGAATCTATAAATATGTTATAGTTAGTTTTGCCTGCTTGAATGCAGAGAACAAATATTTGCCCGCTTCAGTGTGATAACCTTTAGGCATTTGAAGAGTATTATCACATCCATCTAGCTCCTCCTGACTTCTCTTCTAGAAACTAATAAGAATCCATTCTTTCAAACTTGCCTTATTGTTTTTATGTATCCATCCAATCAAGGTGGGAGTGTTAAAAATGAATGCTAGGAATATTAAAGCTTATTTTTCTATATGCTGCATTTAGGGAGTTTAAGTATTTTATAGCCCAAGACACACAAAAAAAACCTCCCAAAAACAGTATATTTCTGAATATCAAATCCAGGGCTCATTCAAGAGAATTTAAATTTGGAAAAAGATACTGCAATTTATTTGTACATTCAAACATTTAGGCCCCCAGATATGTAACTTGTTTAATGTTTATTCATTTTAGTACCCAGGTCTCAATTCAAGGTGCAGGTTAGGGTTAGGAACCTGCCATCTGCGTGAGCGCATCTTCCCCTACAAAGCCACACAATCTTTAAGATCTTCTGGGGAGGCTTTTCTCTCGCTCCTACCCCCGTCTCAGGCGCGGTTGGTGGGGACGAGAGAGAGAGCATTCTCAGTGGTGGCCCCTCGGCTCTGGAACTCCCTCCCCAGGGAGATCAGGCTGGCACCCTCTCTATCCACGTTGCATAAGGAACTAAAGATGTGGATGTTCCGTTGTGTATTTGATTAAACAATTCCCTTGACTGTTGGCTTTAATCCATGGCCTAAATAGTCTATGTCCCTGCACTTTGCTGCTGCACTTATTAAAATCATAATGTCCCTGTTATAATCTACTCTATCCTTATATTGTAACACGATCTATGCACCTTACTGATTAGCCTTTTTTCTAACCTGTTTGCACTCCAGCCCGCCTCCCACAATGAGAATTGAAGTATGTTCTTGGTTGTTGCTTATGATAGTTGTATTATTATTGGTATAATGTTGTTTTTATGTTGTTTTATATCATTTTTATATTTTATATGCTATGTTTTAACTCTGTGTTACTGGGCTTGGTCCCATGTATTGATCTACTCACATTTGCATGTTTTCAAACTGCTATGTTGGCAGAAGGGCTAACAGCGGGAGCTCACCCCGCTCCCCGGATTCGAACCACTGACTTTTCAGTCAGCAAGTTCAGCAGCTCAGTGGTTTAACCTGTTTTGCAACTGAGGGCTCCTATATCATTATATATTATTATATATTATCGGTAGTATTAGGAGCCCCCGGTGGCGCAGTGGGTTAAACCCCTGTGCCGGCAGGACTGAAAGACCGACAGGTCTCAGGTTCGAATCCGGGAAGAGGTGGATGAACTCCCTTCTATCAGCTCCAGCTCCTCATGTGGGGACATGAGAGAAGCCTCCCACAAGGATGATAAAAACATCAAATGATAAAAACATCAAATCATCCAGGCGTCCCCTGGACAACGTCCTTGCGGACGGCCAATTCTCTCACACCAGAAGCGACTTGCAGTTTCTCAAGTCACCCCTGACACGACCAAATCGGTAGTATTATAAATATATTATTATAGTACAATACTATTATTATTATTTAGTTGCCAGCCTGACCAGTATTTCTGTGTGGTACAGTTTGAGCATCCTTTATGAAGAATTTGAAATCTGAAATGCAATTCTGTGTTCCAGCAGAAGTTGACCAGAGTTGCAATAGAAAACCTAGAGATTTCTAGAAATAACATTTTAATCAAATCTGTAAAAATCAAACCCACAAATATGACAGGCAAATTGTAATTGTTTAATAAAGCTTTCCCTGTCAAATTCTCTGAAGCTTTCAGAAATAGTATGATAATGTGCTGTTGAAGTCTTTCATGACCTGAATCACTGGGTTGCTGTGAGTTTTCTGGGCTGTATGGCCATGTTCCAGAAGCATTCCCTCCTGCTGTTTTGCCCACATCTATGGCAGGCATCCTCAAACCTTTGAAGATGCCTGCCATAGGTGTGGGCAAAACATCAGGAGGGAATGCTTCTGAAACGTGGGCATACAGTCCAGAAAACTCACAGCAACCCAGTATGATAATGTTGTTGATATGAGAAATGTCAAGCAGCATTTTTACCATAAACTCAGCCATACTTTGGGGAAGTAAAGGCCATTATTCAGTGTTGTTATTTTGCCTGCTTGACATTCTATCTGGGTAAGCAGGAAGGAGATGTTTCACCTCCTCCTGCAACCATTTTACTACTACATACATACCTATTTTTTTAAAAAAAACAAGTTTTTAGTGCTAGAAGAATCTGCGGAGAAGAGGAAAAGGAACTAAAATTCCCAGTGCTATCACTAACTTGCATTTATCGTTTTAAAGGCATTCCCTTCTTCTGTTGCTCATAAATACCAATATCTTCCTGCTCACTGTGGTTGCCAATTCAAGCTCTTCCTGTAAATGAGAGAACCCTTCTCATATTCCTTCTTGAGCAATTGTAATTAAACCTTTAGGTTAAAAGGATTGCCTGGGTCTGGTAGCCTAACAGGACAACTGTCAAATGGGTGACCTATAAACGCATGTCAAATGGCTAAAGTATCCCTTCTTGTAATGATTATATTGTGGGTTTTGTTTCCCTTGTTCTCTGGATTGGGTGACCCATTTTTTAAGAAGTGCATTGTTGTTTTGGTTTCTTATCATACCAGCAGCAATATGGAACGTGTGCCCGAAGAGACAAGTTAAAGTGACTTCTATTCATGCTAGTTGAGGATTTTAGTTTCTACTAGTTAATTACTGTTTTATTCTTCACCCATTCTGTCTGGCTTCAGAAGTGTGTTGTGTGCCTTTCCAAAAGGACACTTGACTTTCAAGAGCTTCTTTTCCAACACCATGGACCCTTCTACACTGGCCCTAAAATGTGGGAGGAACTGGGATAAAAGGGGGACTAAATTACATTTGCTGAAAATTCAAGCTGGATTGCATTAACAGCCGAAAAACGTGTTAAAGGGGTGTGCTTAAAATCCGATATTAGCCGGGACTAACAAGTTCATGTTTGGACTTACTGTCAGGTACTGCCATTTTTTGCCCCACGTCTTTGTCCTGCATTAAGACGCTAACTGGAAGGGCACTACAACACTGGCCTCTGCCTATGTTTTTTGGATTCGAGTCATAGTGCTTATTCAGGGCTACACCACAGGCCTGGCTAAGGATTTTTTGCTTCCTGAAGTGAAGGACAATAATATGTCCCCCTTTTGCATACCCAGGGACGGATCTTACTAGATAGCATACTCTACCACATTTGAAGAAACCAGGCTAGCTCAGCAAATTTAAAGCAGTTCATGTGCCACACATAGCTTTGTCCTCCAACATCTTATCACTCTGTCCCACTCCTTACAAACTTCTGCCCAAAGCAGTCTGCTTACTTAATCTCCATGAAAGGGCCACGCCTGCATTTCTTATTCAGAGGAGGCACAGGGAAAAAATACAGCAAAGTAAAGACTTTCTGTATATATTTCAGATTTCAATATTAATGTCAAAAATACGTAGTATGATTTTACATAGGATTTGTGCTACATTAGAACAGTCAAGACAAATATCACTTAAGTAAAATAAACATTAAATATTAAATAACCAGAAAAATAAAATAAGGTTTAACACTAAACTAATCTGGGAATCTGCTATTGCAACACATCCAATGAAGTGGTTTAAAACTTTTGAAGTCAAGGAAGATTTGAGGGTCCACATTTTATTTTCTGTTGTAATCTTCAGTAGTTTCATTACATTAAAATAATTATATGGTATTCTGCTCAGCAGTGAAGTACTGAGAACAATCCTTTCAGAGTTCTTAAAATTGATGTAAATCAGCCTGGCGCTGAGATATTATTCTCCAAACAAACGGGTGAAATAAAACATAAATGCAAGGAGTGTTTCACTCCAGATGTTTGTTCCCGGTCCACATTTGATACCCGGTTGTTCCTCCGTGACATAGAATTTGCCACTTTCAATTGAATTTACTTTGAATCAACTGTTCATATTCTAATAATTGTTTGTTCTGAGATTTTACATAGGATTGGATCAGTACTAGTCATACTTAAATTAGACCAATGGAATCTATGGCACTTGAGTTAAATATGATCAGTAAGATACACTGATGTGAGATCTACTCTTGATTTAGTTTGAAGTCAGACCTAATGCTGAATTGCTGGAATTGTAGAAAAAAGAAGTAGGAGACTTCAGTGGGACTACAGAGTTATTTCCATGTGCACCTGTGCCAATGAAAGTGTTTTTCTTGCATATCAACAAGAATCAACCAAGAAGATCCATAGTTATTTATTATATCAAGAGGCATTTTATTGTTGAATCCAGAAGTGGATCAAACAAGGAGGAAATGACCTTGAATTTGCCCCGACTGTGCCCTGACTTATACATACATTCTGGTGGCATTCCAGTTGCTTGATGGAGGGTGAGCATCTCCTGCATTGTGAATGAATAAATGGCCGGGTTCACAGAGTCCTAGACAAAGTGGCTCATACAATTTCGTCTTCATATTTTGAGTGTGACATAAATGGACCACCAGACTTTGTCCTTCAGTTTTTGAATGCATGTTCTTTGTACTTGCTGCCTTAATCCCTTTGGTAAATAGAGTTGTTTATTTTTGATTGAATGTGATTCCCCGTGTTGCAAAAGAGTCGTATGAGATGTTGCATATTTCATAAAGGCTTGAAGGTTATCAAATCTAGTCACAGAATTGCAGCTCTTTCAGTCACTTCAGAGAACAATTGGCAACATGATGAGAGGTTTCATTTCACTCTCTTTTCTTTCTGTTTGATTGCAGGGTTTTTTCCGCAGAAGCATTCAGAAGAACATGGTTTATACATGTCACCGGGATAAGAATTGTGTTATTAATAAAGTCACTAGGAATCGCTGCCAGTACTGCAGACTACAGAAGTGCTTTGAAGTGGGAATGTCCAAAGAATGTGAGTTGATGTTAGAAATTGTCTCATTTGCCCCATCTGTCTTATCTGTTTGGGCCACAGTGGTGGCCATAGGAATGTGGCGTAATGGGGGCAGAAGAAAGGATGCAGAAATGTGTCTGTTTTACTTCGTGCAGTGTTCATATTTTATAAGTGCACGTCAATTCAATTCCTTTTTCCCATCCATTTGCAAATATTTTTAAAACCTCCATGAATATTCATAGGGGAATTAGTGTGCCGTTTTAGATACACATTCCATCAATGTATGCATTCTTTGCAATCACCTGTATATACAGGTGATAATATATACATTTAATATATACATTTTTTATTTTTATTTTTTTTAAATCCCTGTATATGTTATGCCATGTCCCCAAATACATAATTCCTTTCATGGTTTTTATTGGAATACTGCACCACAAAAGTGAGAAGTGCAAAACCCAAAATATAAATATTCTAGTTTGCAAATTGGTTTAAGTCAAGGGTGGGCAACGTGGAGCTTCATGTGGCCCTGGGGCAGCTTTTATTTCCCTTGTTCCCGTCAATCTCCGTTAACTACTTTCCCAAATTCCTTTCCTTCCCCTTTCCCCTGCTCAAAAAAAGAGGTGAGTTCTCATTCCTGGATGACAATCAGAAATGCACCTTTTAAAAATGTCTGTTGGTCCCCCTGCACTAAAAAGTATGCCTTTTTCAAAAATATACATGAAAATCCAATTCTTGCTGCAGTTATTTTGGTAGTCCATGCAGTCCCCTGAAGCTCTTGGGATAGAAACTTAACTCCTGAATTTAAAGAGTACACATTTAGATTTAAAACCCTGTCTCTAGTCAAAAACTGTCAGAGGTGATTTTATGTAAAGGTCTTTTTAGATCAGATAAGGAGTATGTCACTCTAGAGTTTTGTCAGAGGTCATGCAGGGCTTTTATATGGTACTTGAATTGTTGGTTATTAAATCCCTACATGCTACATAGTATCCCTGTTCTCAATGAAAACAACATCTCAGAATTACAGTGGTGTTAGCGTGGATTTCAAAGTCCACAGAAAGGAAAAATACGCAAGTTTTGTACACCCCAGTTCCTGCTTTTTGTAGTTTGTAACATACTTGCCTTGTGCTCATTGATATACATATACGTAGTTACACTCACAGATCTGCTTGTTGCTGAAGTTTGTAGTAGGAAGGTTGTGTGTCAAGGTTTATCAGTATACATTTTCTTCAATCGAAAGATTGAATAAAGGTTTTTTTGAAAGCTATTTCTAAGATAAAAATGCCAGAGAACCAGTGTAGTAGTAATTTTATTGAGTAGCCTTTAGGCTATATCACAATATCAAACAAAACCACAGGGCTTGATAAGACTTGATTGCACTCTATGTAGTAAGTTAAAAAAGACATTTATAACAATACAATAAATAATATAAGATGTGATAAAACTGATAAAACTGAGTATATATCTGAGTATATACATCCTATTTCCTTATCACCCCTACAATTTACCTCAATCAGCCCCACATATTTGGTTCTCAAATGTATTGTTTTGCCAAAGAACCAGTGTAGTGTAGTGGTTTGAGTGTTTGGTTATGACTGAATCCCTGTTCTGCGATGGAAATCCACTCGGATAAATCTTGAACAGGTGATACACTCTCAGCCTCAGGGATAGGCAAAGCCAACCCTCTTCTGAACAAAACTTGCCAAGGAAAACCAGTGAAGGATTTCGCTTTGAGTGTCCATAAAGCAAAAATGACCTGAAAGCACAGAAAAACAACAACATGCCACTTTCTAGAGATTGAACTGGTCAACCTAATAAAGGACGCTTTGGTGTCAGTTTAGGCAACTCTGAACCAAGCCCAATGGTAACCAGAAGTAGAAATGAGTAGAAGGCATTCAACAACAGCAAAACTTTGCCACGGGCAAAATCATAACAAAACAAAAGACAACTTTGTAAAGAGGATGCCTGTGATGGAAGATTGGTGAACAAGTAGAAATGTGCATAATCAAATTTAAAAACAAATTCCTTCAAAAATATAGTAGAAATGGCACGGCCACGGTTGAAATTGGGTGAGGCATGAAGCCTTTGTCATGAAGGCCATTTAGTAGTGGTGCAGAGTAAAACAGGAAATGCAGTGATGCTCCATTTCTTATTTTCATTCTGAGGCTACATGACAATTCCAGTAAACTATTGACACAGCAAGTGGGAGCATTCTTGCAGCAGATTCATAGCCTTTGTGCCAACAGAGAAAGAGAGCCAAGTAAAACTGAAGTGTCAGTCAACAAGATTGAATGAATCCCAAACTATGGAGAAATACAAACACACATACCTCAATAAAACAAGCAACAATCAAGATGGTACAACTTCCTCCAAAAGCAACAAACCCAAAACTACAAGGAACATGCCTTTAGCCCATCTGCTGTCTCACCTTTTCTGTGTAAGTATGTATGTAACCCAGTAATGCAACTTTGAAAAGGTTGCTCAGCGTTGGTTTAATCAGCATTCCCATCTGATATAATACACTAGAAAAAGTCACTTTCCATTTTTCTTTTTCTCAAGACCCATTAACATTCCCTTGAACGTCTCTTGAAAAAGAACAATGAAAACCAAATTAGCTTGATCACCCCCTTATAATGTATTCTAACCTAAGGGACAGCACATTTGGCTGAAGTCCTGAATGGGAATCTGTTCCCTTTTGATTCTGGAATTTTTCATTAACAACAGCCAGAACCCACTCAGTCATTCCAGTTTGCAAACAAGGGCATTGTCTACCTCATTTCAATAGTTGCATCCAGGGAAAGGCCTGTTAACTTGGCCTGACCCACATAACCATTGGTCAGAAAACAAAAACAAACAGAAGCTGATCAAGGCATAAACATCTTGAAGTACAGGCAACAAACATCTTCTGTCTCCAGTGTGAATATCTGTCATCTTTTTTCCTTTCCCAAGATAAAACCTAAAATGCTGAGCCCTGTCCAAAAACGGGGTCCTTTATGCTTCCATTCAGTAGCTGAAGTATTCAAACTGAAAGTTTGAGAATTCAGACCTCACAAGGAAAGAACAACTTAGTAATCAGTTGCTAAGTATTCTACCTTGCCATTTAAATTGCAATCAAATGATTAAAACCATAAAACAGTAGCAAAATGAATGAATGCAAAGACAATAAAGCAATAAAAGCAGGGAGTAAATTAAGCAAACTATGAGGCTTGAAATTCAACTGCTGTTTCCAACACCATATTGGCCCCACTCTACATTTGAATTGTTGTAGAATTACATGTTATGGGCCCACCTACCACTGGATATGGTGCCAGAGGAAAGAGGGATAGGGTAAAGAAGGGAGTGATCCAAGACCCCGTGCCCATACACATGCACATTTTAATTCACACAGATATATGTACATATGTAAACACAAAAGAGATATTTACATATTACATTCAATACATACACAGTATATCATACAATAGAAAGGAAGAATTCAATCCTGGCTCAATGGAGGATCTCCAGTGACAGTAGCCCCAACAGGACTTAGACCTCATCTCTACTGCCATTTAATGTGGTTTACCTGGATAAACCTGGAACCCCAGTTTAATCCAGGTATGGACCTTGTGGGGACTGCATCCTGAGATCCAATGGGGCAGTCCACCTCTGCAGTGCCATCCTCCCCTCCCTGGTGCCCATTTCACTGTTAAAAAAATATTGGAAACCCATCTTACCGAGGCCAAATGCTTCTCCATCCTCTATGGTGCATCTAAATGACGTGATAGAGCTCTGGTAGGGGAATTCCGCCCTCCCCTCTGCAGTGCTCTGATGGAGAAACGTCCAGCCTTGGTAAGGCATTCCTTGATTTCTTTACTGGCTAACTGGGTGCCAGGGCGGACAAGGGACTGGGTGGCTGTGCATCTCTCTGTCAACACCATTTTGGCATGAGTGAGTGTCTGGCCACCCTCTCATCAAAAAGTTAGAGTTTTGGCACCCTGTATGGCCTAGAAATGCATTATACTTCAGTTACATTTCAGTAGTAACATACTGAAGAGAAATGTTGTTGTTACACACTTTAAAAGTTACTGTTTAAGAGCTTTTTAATGCACTTGCATGACATTGTCTTATCCAGCTTTGGAATTTTTCAACAACAAAAAGAAAATTAAAAACATGTAAGACAAAGAATGAATTATTTTATAGTAAATTTCCGAGCCCTGTAATGCAATCAAGACAGCTCATTAAATGGCAAGTTATATTGCAGGCCTATTTTGTGTCACATATCTCTGTGTTATTTATGAAGGCACCAGTTCCGGTCTGATCTTAAAACCTAAGCATGGTCAGATTTGGTTTGTACTTGGATGGGAAACCTCAGGTGAATACAAGTTGCTGTGTGTGGTATTTTAAAGGAAGAAGCAGACAAAACCACCTCGACTATTCCCTCCCTAAGCATACCCAATGAAATTCATGGGGTTACCATAAAAAGATAAGGAACATGAAGGCACACACTCCCTTTTGATGTTATTCCTAATTCCTAAGCTTATTTTCTATTCTCTTTGTAGACAGATGCTTTACATTGTATGAGAAATCATGTCTTCATTTTGCTATTGAATGGAATACTATATGTCAACATTTTCTCTGTGTTTATCATAAGGAGCAAGCTTCGTAACCAAACTGTAATGTACACCATAAGGCTAATATAAACATATGTGTTTCTTCATTTACCTTGAATTCTTCACTTGAAGTACAGAGCTTCAAACTTAGACAGGAAAGCAAAATGGATCCTAAATTCTGTCTTCTGTTTACAACTTGGAAACATAAGAGGTCTAGAAGGCAATATGTCCTGACTGTAATGAGATCGTTCTTGCGCCTACACTAAGAAACAATATGGTGGTTCATGCTTATATAAATTATGTGCCAAACTCTTAGTAGAGCAGAATTCAGGTGGATTTTATGTGGATTCACAGATCATATAAAATATAGTTGATAAGACAATAATTCAGATACAAGAGTTGACAAGGAAGCAGAATAATAAAAGTATCAAT